TTAAATAGTTTTTTTTGTTTGTTTGTGGGGGGGTTTTGTTTTTTTGTTTTGGTTTGGTTTGGGTTGGTTTTGGGTTTTTTTGGTGGAACCAGGGATTGAACTCAGGCCCTTGCACTTGCCAGGGAAGTGTTTATTCCACTGAGCCATCTCCCTGTCCCCTAAGTAGTTTATTGATTACACATGATAATGGATGATACACAGCTTCAATCCCATCTATCATTGTATCTGGTACCATTATTCAATTTAGATATATAGGATGTGTCAACATTCATTTTTATAACCAAGTAGCTGGCTGTTTGCTTGGGTGATCTTTTCAATGGTCAAATTCAGAGGTCACAACAGTAACTGTCAGTTCAGCTACACTAGTGTTTCTGAAGACAATGACTTTTTTTTTTTTTTTTTTTTTTTTTTGGCGGAACAGGGGATTGAACTCAGGCCCTTGCGCTTGCCAGGGAAGTGCTTATTCCACTGAGCCATCTCCCCAGCCCCGACAATAACTTCTTTAACCAAGCAATTGTACAGAAATTTTAAATGGGACCTGGCATCACCCTGAAGGAATTCTAGCTTCACACTGTTGGGGATGTTAACCAAGATGACTTCAGAGCAGACTAACTTTACACAGCACATTTTTAAAAAGACACATTTATTCAGCGTCATGATTAGACTATTACATTTAGCAATCAACAGCATGGGTGCAAAAAAATAAAAGGTCTATATTAAAACCTTTGTTGGAATGCCTTACACTTTCTACAGAGCAGAAACTAAAATAACCTGTTATACAATTAGTCACAAATACAGTCAAGTTTTTTGCCCATATGCGTGAGTATCGCCTAAAACATGTCTTCTTTGTAGCAGCTAGGCCCTGCCACCACTGTGCTTGGCTGAGTTCACAAGTCTATTGTAACTTGTAGCTTCCCTGTTACTTCTCTGGCTCTCCTCTCTGCCAAACTTGGTTTCCTGGAAGTGTTTAAAACCTTCTGCCACTGCCATAGCTACTGCTGCTGTTAGAGCCACCATAGCCACCTTGATTTGGTGGTTTGGTAAAATATTGGCCTCTACCATCATAGAGCCCAGAGCTTCTGCCTCCAAAGTTTCCCCCTTCATGGGTCCAAAATTTGAAGACTGACTGTTGTAATTGCCAAATTCATTATAGCTTCCACCACCTCTGTGACTGCTTCTATCATTATCAAATCCATTATAGCCTTCTCTGATACCACCATATCTTCCCCTGCCATGGCTGCCACAAAAGTCACTTCAACCACTGAAGTTTCCTCCACAACTGAAACTGTCATTGCCACCAAAACCACTGCATGACCACCACCAAAATTTCAAGAACCACTTTGACCTCTTTGGCTAGATGAAGCACTAACCATCTCCTGCTTTGACAGGGCTTTCCTCACTTCACATTTGTGGCCTTTCACAGTGTGGCATTTTTGAATGACAATTTTATCCACAGAATCATGGTCATCAAAAGTTACAAAAGAAAAGTCCCTCTTCTTTCCACTGCCTCAGTCGATCATAATTTCTTTCTTTCTTTCTTTCTTTCTTTCTTTCTTTCTTTCTTTTTTTAGTACCTGGGATTGAACTCAGGACCCTGCACTTGCTTGCTAGTCATGCACTTATTCTACTGAGCTATCTCTCCAGCCCTTGGTCATAATTTCAATCAGTTCAATTTTTCCATATTGTTTAAAATAATCTCATAGGTGATGTTCTTCAATATATTCTGTAATGCCACCAACAAAAATTATCACCATTAATTGGGCACCTGTTCTTTGAGAATCTTCTCTGAGACATCTCTCTTTGGTTCAACAACTCTTCCATCCACTTTGTGTGGCTTTCATTCATGATTGCATCCACCTCCTCCACAGTGGTGTAAGTGACAAACCCAAAGCCCCTGGAACGCTTGGTGTTTGGGTCTGTCATTACCCCGCAGTCTATGAGTGTTCCCCATTGCTCAAAATGGCTCCTCAGACTCTCATCAGTTCTTTCAAAGCTCAGACCTCCAACAAAGAGCTCCAGTAGACTCCTTGGGAGACTCCGACTTAGACATGATGGCAGTCAGGAGAGAGACTGACAATGTTTCCTCAACAGTGTCCACCAGCAGAAAGCAAGACATTCACTTTGACTCATGAACCAAGTAGTTATAAGGATAGCTCTGTGGATAGAATTATAACCCCCTGAAACTCAAAATTTGATACTCTATCCTCCAAAATGATCTTATTTGGAGATGGCCCTTTGGATTTCAGTGAGGTTGTAAGAGTAGATCTATCAATTCTCAGCCTTTTAGCTAAGATCAAGCATAGTAATAAAAAAAAAACTTCATAACAAGTAAAACAGCAAAAAAAATCAAGTGTAGAATCTGTTCTTATCAGTTTAATATCTGATACATCCTCTGTCTGAGGACAATATATTAAATGGAGTTTTGGAGCTGGGAGATGGAATCGGAGCTTGCTCCATCCACTGCACACACCAACCTGGTATTGCATTACCTCCAGGAACAGTGCGTCCTCTTGAGGAAATAGAAAGAAAAAAAAAAGGGGGGGATCCCTCCTGATGGCACTAATGTTCTTTTCTTTTCTTTTTCTTTTCTTTTCCCCCCTTTGCAGTACTTGGGATCGAACTTGAGCTTCTCAGTCAGGTATTTATGTCCCTGAGCTATGTCCCCAGCCCCTAGTGTTCTTATAAATTAGAAACATCACAAATTTATTTTTTTTTATTTGCTGATACCTAATGTTCAAACCATCTGGCCTATAGTATTTTGTTGCAGTAGACTGTATAAACTAGCAATTAGAAAATATTTGGAACTGAATAATGAAATCTTAAATTTCAAAAATATTGTGTTACAGCTAAAATAGTTTCTTTAATGTTTATATATTAACTTAAAAGATAGTTAAACAAAATCAACAATATTAGAAATAAAATGGGGGGCATTTGAAAGATGCCAAAATTAAAAGTAGAAATTCAAATAACTGACACTACCAATAAACTTAAAAATATGAAATGCATGTATTCTCATAAATAATAACTCCTACCAAAATGAATTAAGAAGGAAAAATAAGGGCCAGGGACATAGCTCAGTGCCTTGCAAGCACAAGGTCCTGAGTTTGATCCCCAGTACCACAAAACAAAGGAGGAGCAGGAGGAAGAGGAGGAGGACAAGGGGGAGGAGGAGGAGAAGTAGAAGAGAAAGAAGAAGAAATAATGTGCTTGTAAACTGTTTTTATGAGAAAGAGTCTTACTATGTATAGTTTAGGCAGGCCTCCAACTCACACCAGTCCTCCTGCCTCAGCCTACCAACTTCTAAGATTACAGGTATGCACCACCACAACTGGGTTTGTATTCATGACTCTTTTGGAAAAAATGTTTAATCATTTATTTATTTATTTATTTATTTATTTATTTGGTACAGAGTCTCACTATGCAGCTCAGATTTATAGTGATTCTCCTGTCTCAATCTCCCCATTGCTAGGATTACAGGAGTATACTACCACACCCAGTCTCAGAGGTTTTGGTGGCTGGCACAGCATGTCTGGGGTACTGGTGATTGAACTCAGGTCCTTGTGCTTACCAAGTAGGCACTTAGACTGCCAAGATATCATCCCAGCCCTGTATTTGTGACTCTTAAGGGCTGCTTGAATTTGTAATTTTAAATATTGCAAAAAAAAGTCCAAGATTATGATGTGGTGTCTTTAACAAATTCTTAAGCATGTAATGTCAATCACGTATCTATCACAGAGGTTTTCTGAATAAGGAAATAAATGATCACTTCCTAAAGTATTATCCATATTTTATACAATTCTGGATTCATCCCAGGAATGCAAATTTCATAAGAATTAGAAAATCATTCACAAATTTACAGTGTGAATAAAGAGTATCATTTGATTATCAAATAGAAGCAGAAAAGCATCCTCTAGTCCTCTATCATTTATTAGTAAAAATTACATAGAAAATAAATAAACTGCCAAAGGCTATCCATTTAAACAAAATTCAAAGATTCAAAACAGGTGAGTATGCTAGTTAAGGATCATCTGTGTTCATTATTCCACTGGCCATCCTAAGCAAAGGAAGACATTTAAGATGGTGATTAGAATGGATAAATTCAACCTGGTTACATAAGTTACCATTAAAATTAATTTTAAAGGAAAATAAGTTTCAAAGGTCAAGAGAAATATGACTAGAAATGGGAGAATGTAATAAGTTTGTAAATATAAGAGTCTTTTTTTAAAAAGTCAAATGAATTTCCTTATACTAGCTATAAAATTGGACTATGTCTTTTTATTATAGCTTTACTGAGATATAACTATATGCAAAGAATTATGCATATTTAATATGAATATGAATATTATGATTAGTTTAGACATATGCAATACTTTTGATACCATCACCACAGTCAAGGTCATAGACTTACATACCTACGGCCTCCCAAAGTACCCTAGTATTTCTTTTTATAGTAAGAATACATGACATGAAATCTGCCTACTTAACAAATTTTGAAGTATTATTCTATGCATACTGTGTTGTACTGAAGATATCTAGAACTCAATCATCCAATATAGCTGAAACTTTATTCTCATTAAACAATTCTTTGTTCTCTCTTGCCCTATCTACTAATACAACCGCTATTATAATCTCTACATCTTTGGTATAGATACTGGTATAGATACAATACCTTATAAATAGCATCTTCAAAAAGCACATTTTGAAAAATAATATTTAATATATGAAAACTATGAAACACTGAGACAAAATTTTAAATGTGAAGACATTAATGTGAAAAATATAAAGTAACTGAAAATAAAAAATATGTAAAAGATAGTCAATAAGTGATAAATAATTATGTTCATGGGTTGTAATAACAAATTTGTAAAGATGTTAATAATACACAAATAGGGTTACACATCCAAAGAAATTCTAATTAACATTATAAATTCATTTTTGTTGAATTTGAAAGACCTGATTCTAAAACTCATAAGGAAGCATGAAAAGTAAACAATTTTAATTAATGAATGAAACAAAGATAAGGATTATCTCTAAAACATTTTAATTTTCATCTTCTTATGATTTGTCACATTAATTATGTGACCCATGTAATGGATAAAATATTAACGAATGCTTTTCAAAATGTGTACTTGATTTGCAATTCTATCTCGATCTCTATTTTCTCCAGGATGAGCCCTTCTTAACATAAAAGTCCAGTGTCACTGTTGCATTATTGCATGCTGCCATTCAGCAGGTGACAGTTTGTTGAGTTCTTTCCCTTCTTCTATGGTTATTCTGACCACAAGTCTTGAATTAGAGAATTGGGAATATTCAGTGCCTCTGTGCTCTCTATCTTATCTCATCCACATGGCTGATGCTGACAAAGGATATGCAAATTGTGGTACAGGGTTACAGGATAAATCCTGAGGGTGCCTGACTGACTGTCAGATACAAAAGTTACATTTCTTGTTATACAGGTCTTGCTTTACCTTGGTCTTAACCATCCAGCAGAAAAGTATAAAAACAAGATATATAAAGTAAAGCCATATTAATATGCTGAGTTGTGAAAGGCTCAGGTCAACTGTTGTGGATAACCTACTACTATTGTGGACTTCTGGACTGTTGGATTGTTTTGCTGAATTCACACATCTATAGTATTTAGATGCCAATGGAATACCCATTTCTGACAGGACTAAACAAAAAGAGGGGATACAAAGGAAGGACCATTTTGTATCTGTATATCTGTATAGTTAGGATAGATACACAGCTACTCTGACTTAAATCAATGAGAAGAAAGATTTGTATGAATAGTGTTTGGACAGGATATTCTGTCTGCATCTTGTACTATGGATAACCACTAAGAAGATAACAATGTATAATGTATTAATTATTGAAACTGTCCTATTAATCAGTTTTGAAACTCTCTCATTGATGTTTCTCAATAAAATAAAATTTAAAAAATAAAATAAAAAGACATGAGTTACACCTATTCTCCCCAATAGCTTGCTATGTAGGTCTGTCTACTTTACCTTTGGGAATTATAAACAGTACTACTCTGTCTCTGAACTGATGAATGGCTCTGGCTACAGAAAGTAGACTGCAATCTTATTGGCTCTCATATTTGGCTTGTATTCCTCACTGTGACATTAGTTCTAGCCCCATTTTCACAAATATGTGCTGCTCCAAATCTACACTCCTCCCCTTTCCTGAGTTCTCTACCACCTGGTTGCCTGTTTGACTATTAAAGTTACTACATAAAACACTACTTCTAGGAGCATCAACTTTCTCCCAATTCTATTCCTTAACCTCCCAGTGGTGAGCATGACTCATCAACTGAATTCTGCCTAGTCCTTGGAATGTTGGAATTACTACCACTAAAATTCACTGAGGTTTGGCTTCTTGTTCACCTAGCCGGAAGACTAGTGTGATCTTTGTTGTCTATTTCTAGTATGATCTCTGATAATATCTGGACATGAGGTGCCCACATCATCTTCCTCATGAATTTCAAATCCTCTGTTCTTACAATTTATGTGGATCTCCAGCATAAACCAAAACTCTCCACTTGTTGGGTTTGTTTGATTCACTGATCTCCAAGCTTGGTCCCCACTGTGTCCACTCTGAGTCACATTATCGGTAAGATAAAAGTTGGACAGCTATTCTCGCAAAGAATCTTGAACTTTCTCTAAGGACTTCTGCATCTCTGTTGGTTGACCCATTTCTCAAGCCAGGCTGAGATGCTAGCTGCCCCTTCACTCCATCTAACCACTGTTGTAATTCCATTGTTATTTCTCTGGAGGTGCCTAAAAGATTGTGGTCTCTCTTTAGCTGGTAATTCTTCATCACTGAATTCACTTAAAAAATGATAATAGACTTCTGAGGTGGAGTTCTTGCTGCCATCTTTTCCCATTTCCACAAAGATTACAGCCCTGAGGTGAAGGTTCTTCACCATTATTGCCTGCCCTAGACCTGGTCTGATTCATACTGAGACACTTGGCCTCCTTATTTTCCTTTCCACGTGCTTTTTACATATGGAATAGTACCCATCCTTCAGTTGTTTGTGCCTTTTTTTGAGAGTTGCCCATCTCTTCCTCTTTTCTTAATGTTAAAGAAGACTTTACTTGAGCTATTAAGTTTCATAAGCTTAGTATTGTGTCTAGACATTAGTGCCTAAGCCTTTCAAAGAATGCTGGGCTGAATGTCTACTATGTATATTTAATTTACTTAAAATGATAATTTAATATGCATGCTATATGTGTACATATAGACCTATAATTTTATTGAGAAACAAATAGCAATGAGACAGTTTCAAAACTGATCTGTAGAACAGTTTCAATAATAAATACATTGCACATTGTTATCTCAGTGGTTATTCATTGTGCAGACATGACATCCCATCCACAAACACTATTAGAACAAATTTTCTTATTCATTGAATTAAGAGAATGTAATTGTGTATCTATCCTAACTATTTTGAATACACAGATACAAAATGGTCATTCACGTGTATCTCCTTTTTTTGTTTAGTTTTGTCA